GTGAATTTGCCCCAGGCTAGGTAGGACTTACCCCTTATTCACATGCTTCTTTTAAATTAAAAGGCTTTTTAGCTGCTGCTGTGACAAGGTCCTGGAAAATACTTCTGAAACACCTATGCTATCAATTTCCAACATAGCTTATGCAGTCAAATAAGGGAGCCTCTCYATTATCCTTTGGATACCTTGGAGTAATGCAATTGAATCACAGAATGATTTAGGTTGCAAAAAGGGCTATAAGATCATTGAGCTCAACCATTAACCCAGCAATGYCCAGTTTGCTACTGAACCATGTCCCTATRCACTAGATCTGCATGTCTGYTAAATGAYTCCAGGGCTGGTTGGCTCAACCACTTTCCAGGCAGCCTTTAACAGCTGCTGTTCTTACAATGYTCAACAACCCTTTCAGTGAAAAATGTCTTTCTAAGATCCAATCTAAACCTCCCTTGGCACAACTTGATGGCAATTTCTCTTGTCCTATTACTTGCTGCTTTGGAGAAGAGACTGACTGCACCTTGCTACAACCTCTTTTCAGGCAGTTGTAGAGAGCAATAAGGTCTCCCCTGAGCCTCCTTTTCTCCAGGATAAACATCCCCAGCTCCCTGAGCTACTCCTCATWAGACTTGAGCTACAGCCCCTTCACCAGCTCTGTTGCCCTTCTCTGGACCTGCTCCAGCACCTCAATGCCCTTCTCGTAGTGAGGGGCCCAAAACTGGAYGCAACACTGGAGGCACGGCCTCACCAGTACCAAGTACAGGGGGACAATCACTGCCCTGGTCCTGCTGGCCACACTCCTGCTGATACTGGCCAGGATGCCATTGGCCTTGTTGGGCACCCATGCACACCTTACTCATGCTTATCATGCTGTTGAACAGCACCTCCAGGTCTTTTTCTGTCAGGCAGCTTCCCAGCTACTCTGCCGCGAGGCGTGTAGTGCTGCATGTGCTTGTGTTGTGACCCTRATACAAGACCCAGACTTAGTGCCTTGTTGAGCTTTCTACAATTGAATTTGGCCTATCAATCCAACCTGTCCAAATTCCTTTGCAGAGCCTTTCTGTGTTCCAGCAGCCCAACTCTTCCACCTAACTTGGTGTCATCTGGACACTGACTGAACGTGCACTCCATTTCCCTGTCCAGATCATTGATAGAGATATTAAATAGGACCGGACCCAATATGGGTAAGTCCTGGGAAGCCCCACTAGCAACTGGCCACCAGTTTGCCTCYATTAAACACCACTCTCTGTGCCTGGCCATTCAGCCAACTTTTTACCCTGCAAACAGTGCACTTKTCCAAGCCATGAGCAGCTCAGCACCTTAGGCTGGATCCCACACAGCCCCAGAGACTTGTGTCAGTCTGAGTGGTGTGGCAGGGCACTGATCATTTCCCCTTGGATTATGAGGGCTTCATTCTGCTCCCTACCCGTCTCCCAGCTCAGGAAGCTGGGTACGCAGAGAACAACGGGCTTTACTATGAAAGACTGAGGTAAACAAGGCATTGAGTACCTCAGCCTTTTCCTCATTCTTTGTTGCTGTGTTTCSAMTCSMATYGAATAAAAGATGGAGAGCCTCACTGGCCCTTCGTTTGTCACAAAGGTATTTATTGAAACATTTTTATTGTCTTTTACAGCAGTAGCCAGGTTAATTTCTAGCTGGGCTTTGATCCTTCCAATTTTCTCCTTTCGAAACCTCATGATGTCCTCGTAGTATTGCTGAGCTGCCTAGCCCTTCTCCTTATTTCCTGAGTTCCAGACAAAGCTCTCTATTCAGCCAGGTCAGTCTTTYAGCACATGGGGACAGCCTGTTTCAGGGTCTTTATAAAAGTCTCTTCTTGAAGAACATCCAGCTTTCCTGGAATGTTTTGCCCTTCAGGACTGTGTCCCAAGGGACTCTGCCATTGAGGCTCCTAAAGAGGACAAAGCCTGTCCTTTGGAAGTCCAAGACAGCAATTCTGTTGAGCCCCCCCTCCTCAGTTTTCCAAGAAGAGAAAACTGTACCATTTAATGAATGCTGTGCCTAAGACAGCTGCTGACCATCACATCACCACAGTTCTCATTTCTTCACTAACAGGAGATCCAGCAAGGCACTTCCCCAGCTGGCGCAGTCACCAGTTGTGTGGGGAAGTTGTCTTCCACACAGTCCAGGAACGTCCTTGAGTATTTCCTTTCTGCTGTGCTGCATTTCCAGCAGACATCTGATAAGCTGAAGCCAACCAGGAGAACAAGGGCCAGAGATGGGGAATTACTGGAGTGCAGACCTAAACATTACCTGTTCAAACCCTAAAAACCAAAACAAAATGCTTGCAGAAAAATCACATCTATGTAAATCTGGCAAAAAGATGTAGATGCTGATTGAATCCGGTAGAGTGTAAAATAAGGGAATGAACAAARAACTTTTTCTGTTATCTGGATTTTGTGGTTGACTGCTGCAGACATGTTTTTGGCAGGTTTAGAAGAAAGTAAATAAAATGTCAGCAAGTTAATGAGAAATTACTGGAAGGGAAGTTGAGAGGAGCATCTGATGGCTAATATGCATACTTCCCATTAAGCATCAGGAAGATTTGTAAGAAAAGTTTGAAGTAATGGCAGGATTCAGCTTCATGTGAATTGCTCCAGGGAAAGCATTGCAAGGGAGAAAGTCCCTAGCTCAGTGGTGGAAATGCATCTGAAAAAGGGCAGAACTGATGTAGAAGAGTAATCATTAGGGAGACTTTGATGTAGTTGCACAGATCTTGTGCTTGGTATGTTACATAAATTGTCTGCCCTGTCAGTAAGACTGTACCCCAGACTCAGAGTAGGGAAGGCTTAACTGAGTGCTGAGAATTTAATGTATGTTCCATGTAATCAATTTTTAAAGTTTTGCAACCTGAGAAGTGTGTCTTCATGCTTTCCAAACACCTGACATAATTCAAGATACCCAGTTAAGGCAAGCATTCTTCTCCTTTAGTCTTATTAAAGTAAATAAATTAATTGACAAAATCCAAATGCAGAGCAAGTATTTTCTAAGTATGCAGAATCARATGAAAAGAAATGAGATCTAATCAATATGTGAATATCACCTCTGATTTCTGAATGCAACTGGCTAATACACATCCAACAGCTTTCCAAGTTCATGGCAAAGGATGTTTRTCATGCATTTTCAGGCTGCATTCACCAGAAAGGATCTGGATTTTAGGGATGCCATGGACAGTAGAGTCAGAATTTGGGTTAGAAGCCACTCTTAGATGAAAATCGGAGAGAAGAAAGGGACTGTTTAAACACACGTTGCAATGCGTGGTTTGAACCCTTCAACTACAGATGTAACCTGACAGGAATTGTTAACTCATCATGTGGTTGATCCCTGTCTTCCATGCAGCAAATTGCCAAATGCTGTGTGTGTCGATAACCCTTGTGGGTCGCTTCTAGCTTGGAATATTCTGTGATTCTGTGTGCTGTGCRTATATTTCACAGAAATGTGTAACTTGTTAATCATATGTTACTGAATGACACAGCAGAGATTAACACATGAGCAGCCACTGTGGCACCAAAAATAGCTTTGGAGGAAATCAGACCTCAAGTCTGTCTTTAAAGACTATGGTCTTTGACAACCATCATTTCCTTGGTGAACACCTTTTATTCATTCAGCGCAACTGCATGAACTAAYTGCACTTCCCAACTGTTGATTTATGGTTTTCAGTGTCTCAGGCCCTTGGGAACTCTGTGAGAACTTGACCAGTGAAATGAAAGACAAAATAAATCCTTAAGTGTGAATAAATTTATGAGGGGTAATTGGAAAGACAGCTACTTGCAATGCTCTAAAGCGTGCGCCCTCCTGGGAAGACTTGTTTCTTTCCCTTAGAAACATAATTTCTGCAGCTTATACTACAGGGACACACAGTAGCTTCAGATTCATCTGGGATACATAGCTGAGGTTCTGTCCATTCTACAGCAAGAGAACAGAGCAAAACCATCATAGAGAATGGGAATGTATCTCAGGGCAAAAGTATCAGACTCATCTTGGACTTACTCTTCCTGCTTACAGCCACTGCTGTAAACAGAAGGTCAGACTACATGGGTCCCTGGCATGAACCAACCTTATCAACTCTTCGGCTCCCATTCACCACATCTTGATACTAATGGAGTAAGTGCCCAAAGTCTAGGAGGGCCAACCTATGCAAGGATGTGATGGAAACTTTGGACATGTGAGCATCTAATTTATATTTCCCAAGGTATTACTCAGTACCACATCAGTTAAGACATCCTTCCTTAAAAATCATCTAAGGGCACAGATGATTCCACTGGTCCAGTCAGTTTTTAACTATCCTGATGTCCAAGGGTTATGCCTCTGCGGCTATACAAAAACAAGGGATGCACCTCCTTCAGAGGATTTTGCAGGGAATATCCCCAATATTAGACTGGTGAACACTTGCTTTGAAATAAAAGGATTCCTCTGCAAAGTAGGGAGGTGCTTTCAAGACTTTGGAACAGCATCCAATTTCAACTTTCTGTATGCATGTTTGAACTGCAAAATAAGACTTCTTTGCAACATTACGTGGTTTGTAAGCAAATAAAGAAGAATACATGCAAGGAAGTAGAAATGGACTAAGCCGTTCCGGACAAAGAATGTTTATGCCCACACAAAGCATCATCCCACATCTCGAGGAAAACATGATTAACAGCACCGTGCTGATCTTAATCAGATTTATTAAGACAAATGTTAAAAATCCAGCGCATATGTTGTGCGTGGGTAACCAAAAAAAAAAAAAAAAACGCCAGATAAAAATGCCCAGAGGGAGTGAGCTAATGACTATCTTCCCATTACCTCATGGGATCATTAGGTCGACATGATCTCTCCGCGGCCAGCACCGGAGCCACTTCCCCACCGGGACGGAGGCCAGCGGCCTTTCCTTATCCCTGCTGTCCCCTCACACAGGTGCACCCCTCAGCGAGAGACACGACCCGCSGCCATGTCGGGGCGGGCACGGCGGGACAGCCACCTCGGCTCCCTGCCCTGCCCCCTCCCCGGGGGGCTGCTGGGCAAGGCGGCATTGTTGCCCGCGTCCATCACTCCTCGTCCGCGGCTGACATAATGAATGCGCCTGGACACACCTTCCAGCCCGGCGGAGAGGCGCCGCGTCTCCTCAGACAGCCTCGCCGAGCTCTCCTCTCCGCTCCCCACAGCCCTCGGGGAGGCGGCCCGCCAGCCCGCCCGGCCCCATAGCCCGGCGCCCCGTCCCAGCCCAGTGAGGGGCCGCGGCGGCCGGGCCGGGCTGGGCAGGGCAGGGCAGGGCGAGGAGGGTAGAAGCCCTCGCTATGCTGCCCAGCGCCCTTTACTGGGACCTGGTGGGCTCCTCGGCTCTCCTCAACCTGCCGGCGGCGCCGGGTTTCGGCAACCTGGGCAAAAGTTTCCTCATCGAGAACTTACTGCGGGCCGGGGCACCGCCGAGCCCTGCCCAGCTCCGTCCCCTCCCCGCCAACCCCGTGCCCCTCAAGCTGTGCCCCGCGGCGGAACAAATCAGCCCCTCAGGGGGTCCCTTCCCGGCAAGATGGGCTTTCCAAGTGCTTAACCCCTCCGCGGCGGACGGCAGCCGCCCGCCAGCGCGGGCCGCGGCGGCGGAGAGAGGCGGCGTCTTCCCGCCGGCAGCCACAGGTGAGCGCCAGCCCCTTCCCGCGTCCCGCCGCCGGGGAGACGGGACCGAGGGGCTTCCCGACGGCTCGGCYCCGCGCTCCGCTCGGCGGAGACGGCGGCAGGAGAGGCGCGGCAGCTCCGATAAGCCCGGCGGGAGGCTGCCCCCGGGGCTCTGGCCGAGGGCCTCGCCCTACTGCTGGCGACGGGACGCGGAGGAGCGGGCGGGGGGCGGCGGTGCGGGAAGCCGGGCGGCGGCTTTCGAGTGCGGCCGGCCGCCGCACCTGTGGGTGCAGAGAGCGCGGCAGAGCCCTGTGATGGCCGCGTCGGGTGTTGTTAAGCGCCCCTAATCGCAGTTCTTTCAGGTCTTGACGTCCCGCAGCCTCAAGGGGTGGTAAAAACTTTGTCGCCAACAGGCGGTCCGGGAACGACTGAAATTCCCAAGTTTTGGGAGAAAGACGAGCGGTCCTATACTCCTGAATAGCGACAGYTCGGGAGGTAGCAGCCGCTTCTCCAGATGCCCTGCCTTGGGGGGCAGCCCGGGCTCCTCCTGCCAAAAGAATTAAGCCATGTAGAATAGGCAGTTTTCTAGAAGTTTTGACAAAACCAGGGCCGGAGGGGGGGGTGGGGGGGGAAGAAAAAGTTTTTACGAGGTGTAAAAGGTGCCTCATCAGCCGTTTGGGCTCGGCGGCACATTGAGAACCAGCGCCTTGCCCCGCGGTGGGGAGCAGCTCSCGGCTGCAGGGGGCCCGCAGGAACGGGTGCCATGGAATTGGAAACAAACAGGTTTACAAAAAACATTCTGTTTCTTGAATGTGTCGATTTTCGTATAAATACATTTTGTCCAGGCGTGAGCAGAGTTTTTTAAGAAATGGGCGCTTCTGTCAGTCATGGAACTGATTGAACTTGTAGTCAATGTTAATTCATTAAATTCGGTATTAGACTCGCTATCTGTATTGTATTTTGCCTTCTGTTAGAATACATAAATTTATTTCAATATTATGCGGTATTTTTTGAATATTTATGGTCATGCAGTTTTAAATGTATTTTAAATGAAATTCAGACAAGCAGAATATCGTACATTGCATTAAGGCTTTAAGGTGTGAAAGCAAAAGGCTTTGGAAACAGAAGTAATTTTTTTCAAACACATTTTTTTTTTCAATTAAATCCCGTAAATTACTCTTCAGAATCTAAAGCAGTATTTGATCCTTTTGCAGTRTATACTTTAAAGGTAGGCAGGAGAGAGTCAAAGCGTGCATTAACATTTCTGAATGTTCCAGACCTCTCAAGGTAAGTTTTATCTGAAGCGTATCAGTTACTTAAACATGTTTGTTTTAACTAACTATAGGCCAGGACAGGGAACAGGACAGGTATCATCTTCCTGCAATTAGGTGAATATTATTCCTGCTCCCCCTGACTTCCCCTTGCCCTTCCACTGAAAAAAAAAGTTCTAGAGAAAATGCTACATTTATTTTTCAAAGGAGAGATAGCAGATGCCCCAGCGCTCTTATTTGCTAGARGTAAAGGTGTTTTGCTGTTTTGTTGTTATTGTTGTTTGGAATGTCAAGTTTTTCAAATACTTAATTCCAGAATTAGTTATTTTTTTGATCAACATATAGTAGTAGTTATGATTTTAGCGTGGGAGGTCAGCCTAGTAAATTTGAATCCAGTCCTATGCTTCTGATTTCACAGCTCCCACAGATCTAGGCAAAAGCACCAGGCTCTTAGATTTGAGCAGGGAGGTTTCCTCATTCATTTTGCACCCAGAAGAAAATTCTCCTGTGATTTTACACATCCAACAATGACTTTTAYATTCTAACAGGGATCTGTTGATTCTAATCTGACTTGTATGTCTTAAAGTGATGAGGATTCCTAGCTGTCTCAACATTCATAAATTTGAATTAGATTGGAACTGTCTTGCTGAGCCAGTTTGTGGTTTCTAAGGAGTCTCTTGTCTCTAGTGTAGGCGTACACTGAGGAAACTGTTCATACCAGACACTCCATTTGTGAGTAGGGTTGGGTGGTCAGGTTGTGTGTAAGTTTCTTGTTTATACAGTGATAGGGCAAAGGAGCAGTTTGGCAGAAAAAAATTTTAGCTTTCAGGGACTAGTGAAGATATTTTAACTAAGGAATTTGGCTGGTTAGGGTTTCTTAATTTACTGATTTTTGTGATTTTTGTTTCTTTTTTTGAGGAATAAACTCATATTTGGAACCCCCAAATCACATGGTATTTTGGAAAAATCCTCGTCTAAGTCTTTAATAAGACTATTGAAAATGATAAAGCAATTTTTTAAAGAAATCTTTCTAAACTCGCAAGTGCTTTATAGATCATGCAGGGCCTAAAAGTCTCTGTTATAAACTGGTTTGGCATAACCTAAGGGTTTTAATAAAGAAAAAATAAAGAGAATTGAAAAAGTACCAGACTTTTTGGAAACAATACTCATGTAGTCCCAAATTCTGGTGAGATGATCACCAAAAGTTCTTAGAAAAAAAAGTAAAATCACAGCARGGACTGAACTGAAAAAGCTGAACATTTTTACATGTATCCACCAGTACCTACAAAGGAAAGACATGAAGAAAGTGCTCCATTTTAGGGTACTTTTTAACACTCCATAAAAGTGCTGAAGAATGTAAATCCATTCTTTGTGTAAATATGAAAACTCTTACCCATAGTGGCAAGTGGGGTGGCATTTTTGATCTGGGCTGTTTGGTTGTGGTAATTTTGATATTTTTTCTCTTTGCAACTCCTCAGCAATTGAGTTGTATCAGCAAGTTTCCATTCCCGTAATTTACAGGTTTCAGAGTATTTAGTTGGACTGTTTTAAGTGCTTATCTGCATGTGTATTTTATGTATATCTCCTACAAAATTATAGTGAATAAAAAACTGAACAAGTACTCAGAAAGTATCACACCCTAAATATTACATCATCTAATGAGCATGTTAAAAATAAGTATATTTGCTGTCTGTAAAATATTAAAATAATCACTTTCCATCATTACATAAATTTAAAAAGTATCATAGGTTTTTGAAATTAGTTTGGTTTAATTTAAGAAGAGCACAAACAAAGAGCATGTTACATATAACTTAGGAAGGGAAAGTAGGACAGTTAGTGCTGTATGATAAACTCATGTGCCTTCTACAATGGTGTGCCAATTTATACCATCTTGGGATTCCCGCTGGCTTTCTTGCACTACGCTTGAAGCCCTTTTGCTCTGTGCTGTCCTCAATTCTTACTTGCTAATCTGGGTTTTAGTCCCTTGCACTCCAAGCCTATTGTCATCTTCCGGATAACTTAGAAGACTTTACAGTTTTTTCAGTGTTTTCCGAGACATAAAAATTGGGAAGAGACTGCTGAGATSCTGTGTGTTGTAGCACAGGTCCTGTAAAGAGGTCCACTCCACAAATTTTCTCATGATTTTGTTGGCAGGCACCAGAGCAGAGTGACCGCCTTGGGAAATGCAGTTACTCTGCTACCTGAAATAATTTTTCTGAATAACTGCTCTTCTCAAATAGTTTGCCCTGGGGGAGGTTGACAGTAGGTGCTTTACAACCTGAATATGGTAATTAGTGCTAAACCCATGAATATGGTCATGGGGAAAGAAAAGATGGCTTTCTGGCTTTCTGCTTTAATTTTGGCATTTTGATAGATTAACYGGAAAGGAAGTTGAAAAATGCAACAAAACAAACAGATAATTCCATTATAAAACCTGTTGAAAATTTTCTCTTAGGGGATTGTCAATCAGAATACAATAGAGCAGAATGGACAGTACACATAACACAAAAGAAATCAGAACTATATAATAAACACAAAATGGACTTATACTAAACATCTGTGCTATAGATGTATCTTTTCTTTCTGTAATATTTGGGTACTTTACATTTTGATGCATTTCTCATCACAATGTGCCAGTGAGATAGGACAGATTTCTACTGTGTAGAGGAGAAGCTGGAGCAAAACGAAATGAGGTGACTTATCTAAGACAATACAGAAAACTTGTAGCATTGCAAGGAGATTAAACCAAGTCTTCTGCAGGCTAAGTCTGTGGAAAACAATGTCCATTTTTTTGCTCTCAGGTGATGACAACAGTTCTATGCTGTAATACTCACTTGAATCAAACATTTTATTTCCCGTATTTAATAAAGTGTCTTGTGTTTCTTTATGACAACCAGGAGACAATACCACTGAAATTTAGGTGATATTTTTTAGTTTGGACCTCTTCTTAGTGAGTTAATGCTTATTAATTATTGATTTCAAGCCAACTGGCAGCCAGGGTGTGTCCTCAAGCGACACGTAACAAACACTAGCTTTCAGTAAATAAAAGACAGGAAAGAGCCCACTGTTTCATCCTGACTCCTTCTAACTCGGGCAACAAGCTGACTGACAAGTCTTAGGATTTTCTTGTTTTACTGGTGTGTTCTGGACATAGAAAGCTTCTTTAAGGTGGGGAGATCTATTTGGCATCTTTTCTTATGCCCTGATTGCCAGGAGCAYTGAGACACTGTCATTGTTTTAAAAGTTCTGTCTTTGGAAGCAAAGAAGTTTCTATAGGTATTAGAAATCTYAGACTCTGTCCAGCACGTTTCCTGTTTCCAGTTAACTTCATGAGCCATTTAATAGAATTGGTCTGGAATGCTCAGCATATCCTAAGAGTGGCTGCAAAATGGCTTTTAAAGGACGAACTGTTGTCCTCATTGTGAGGTTGCCAGAGCTAGACTAGTGCCAGCTACTCTCYGACCCAGCCACTAGTCTGGCAGGCTATGCTCTGAGGAATAGGAGCATTGGCTGGACACTGCTGCTTTCTCTGGCTGCTCTCATGGTGCCATGTCTGAGAAGGAAGAGGATCCTGAGTTTGGTCCCTAGCAAGATTTAGGTACTGCCGGAAGATCTCAGATCTGCATTAGGAAGGCAAGTAGTGGAGTTTGTAGAAAAGCAGTTGACTGAGGGGAGACTGTGGAATTAGTCACGCCTACAGTTAATGAATTAACTTCTGTAAAATATTTTTTGTACTGCAGAAAGAGCTGG